GAGGGAGGAAGGAACTGGGCACCTCAAGGCAGTGGCGGAAAATACATATGGGGACAGATGGTTGCTGGAGGGGGAATACATAGATGGCCTTCAGTGCATATATTCCCATCAGCCCCACAGTCCCATTCTGAGCCTAGGGAAGTTCTTTTGGGACTCTCAGCCCTGGAACCAGCTCACCCAGAATGGCCATGGTGACAGTATGCACTTTAGTATAGAACCTGGAGAGGGGGAATACCTACATTTTGGGACTACAGCTTGCAGCTGCTCGCCATGCCATGCTAGCTGGGAGGATTTGGGGACTTGTCCTAGAAAGGAACATTTCCCAGCACTAGCCCCATCATCCTGCTCATCCAGGGCTGTCCCTCTCTGCCTTGCCATTCCAAGCTGCCCAGCAGCTCAGGCAACCTGCAGTCACAGACCACTTGTCCGGGGCCACTTGATGGAGCAGCTGCCACAAGGCGTCTTTCTCAGAAGCTCTCTCCTGATACCACTACTCGACTCTAAGTATCCTCTCATGGTCAGGTCTGATTTGTTCAGTGAGGGAAACAGAAGTAGTGGATCTCAGCGGCCTTTGGAATGTTTCCTTCCCTGCATCTTAAAGGGTTATTTTCTAACTCAAGGCAGTTGCTCAGGTACATTTTAAAATAACTGTCTGAAGCAAACAAACAGAATGGTAGGTTCTTCCAACACCCACCACTGCGACCTATAAAGCATCAGAAAGAGAGACACAGAAACCTATCCTTATAACACAAAACTTGAAAATGATTAATTGAAATTTAATCTCACTAACATAACTGGTTAAACTGTATTTATTTATTTTTATGCATTCAATTTATACCCTGCCCCCCTAGACAGTGTCTACTCGCAATTTTGCAATTTTAATGGTTGCTGTGGGTTTTTCAGGCTCTCTGGCCATGTTCTGAAGGTTGTTCTTTCTGACATTTCGCCAGTCTCTGTGACCGGCATCTTCAGAGGACTGGAGTAGGAATTTTAAAATTCCATGTTTTAATTGACACTAAAATTGTTGTTTCTGAGTCGTAGTTAATGATTCTCATTACTCTTATTTGCTACTACCTCCTATTTTTATTGATTCAAGACAGTATTTCAGGATATTAATTAAGGGATTAAGATTTAAGACAATAATTTTATAATTTCCCCCAATATTGCTGGAATGAATGTATTAATTCACTTCCACAGTGTATCATTAACAAATCAGTGTTAGGTCCAATGGGGCAAAACATGATTGTAGCTACCATGGTGACACCACGCCCCCGACTGAACAGAGCCCATGAGCCTTACGGCCTTTAGCTGCAGAAGCTGCCAAGGACGCAGGAAGAGAGGAGGAGAGGAGGCCATGTGGTGATACTTACGTTGTTTTCTCTTCCAGGTTGAGGAAGGTCTGGATGACTAGAGGCACTTCAGACTTCACAATGTACAGGTAGCTTGACATGGCTGAGGAGGGAAACATATGTTATCAGGATATAAGGTCCATAGGAAAAGTTGCCATGGAGCACGGTCTTGGACTGCTTCTTTCTTCCCTATAAAATGTTTTCTTGAACAGTAATAGTGCAAAATGTGTGGCTTTCCAGGTGCTGGACTACAACTCCTATCAGCCCTTGCTGGGACAGTCAATGGTAACGGAGGATGGGAGCTGTTGTCCAACCACATCTGGAAGGAGGACCACAGAAGTTTCCCACTGCTGCTGTATGACAATACTTGATACACACAGGCTTTCTTGCACAGGGAGGGACGTGATCTCCACACCTGTGCCATGCCCATGGCTATCTTACCTCCGATATTCTGTAGTGTTATGGCAACTGCAGCTGCCAACTTCCCTGGCGTGCCAAAGGCCCTGTAACCCAACTGTTCATAGGCTCGGATTCCTACAAGACACCAAAAATTAAAAGAAAAGGTCAAGTGAGGAACAAAGAAAATGACTCACATCTATATGACAAATACAGCTCTTGGGAAAATTTTAGACCACAAAGCAAACATTAATCGGATTACAAAGAACTCACTGCAAAACACTCAATTAACTGTCAGCTGTGATCTACCAATTCAGCATTACCCTGGATGTTCAAGCAAGGAATTATTACAATTTCCCTGCTGCTCTATCACACTGTGAGAATCTTCTGTACGAAAGAACCATATGATCAATGTCTCAATATCATAGTACCAGGAATAGCCTGCACGTAACATCTTCTTCCCGATGCTTCTAACTGACTTGTTGGTGTCCTATAAGGTTCCAAAAATCATAATAGCTCCTACCCAGCCAGCCATAAAACAAGCAACACACTGGACAAATTATGTCTTTAAAAGAGCTTCACAAGATCCTACTCTGTGGCTTATCACAGCATGGAGTTCACCTTGGGCTCCTGATGGCTATAAAGTTTCAAGTAAGGCAGCCAATTGTGTCTCTGCTGTCAAAGAATCATCCTAACAAAGAGGCTCGTCACTAGAGGGTTCTCTGTCAAATGAAAAATTGGCCCCAGCAACTAAACGCCACAGCAACTCAACACAGAGACAGTATGTAAGATAGTTACAGTCTGCAGTGGCAGAGGGATGACCTGCCCCAATGTAATCAGGAATCTTCCAGGAATATCTAAAATAAACAATGTAGTGTTGGAAATTTTGTATCCCTGTTTATGTGGTCTCTCTGAACGGATACATTTTTGTTTTAGTGAGGATTTCTGACACAGACACTCTTCCTTCCACTTCACTCATTGCTTGAGTGAAGGGAGAGTGAAAGCATTTAAAAAGAGTACAAATTAGTAGCACCATAAATACTGTCTGGGTTAAGATCAAGTCAAACAAAGAGGCTTAAATAATCAGTGGAATCAAATTCAAGGAAACCCAAACCAACTCCATCATCCAAATACGTGCCACTTCCAATGTGTGAGAAGGGAAGCGAGGGAAAGGAGGCCCTCGCTGGAGTGCCGTCCCTTCCACCAATTACAGAAAGGGAGGTACAGACCTTGCCCACTCCATCCCCGGTTACAAAAGAACAAAGGGGTACTGATACCCGGGATTTAGAAATCAAAATCTGCGGGTTAATGGTAGCCGTTCAAACGGAAGAAGATTTGGCGGGAACAGGTAGGAAAAAGAGGGTGGAGATTGAGGCGGGGACGGCAGAGATAAAAAGAGAGGAGAGGGGATTGCCCCCAAGTTGGGAATGGATCTGGGCACAAGATCCCTGGACAGGAGAGTGGGAAAGACTCCGGATGCCCAGGGAGGAAGTGGACTACCGATGGAGATGATGGAGACAAGAGATTCCCATGCGTCCATCCTACTGGGGTGAAGCGGAGGCTTGTGAGTGGAGGAGACGACTGAGAGAGGAGAAAGAGAAGGTAGAAAGGGAAAAAACAAGAGATATTGAGATGGAGAGTAGAGGAGGTACAGAAGAGGGAGGCACATGAGACCCTGGACTTTGTTCCCCGGAACCCGAGATGCCAAGTGGGACGGAACCGGTGAGGATGAGCCCATTCCCTTACTGGAAGGAGAGGATGACAAGATACTAAAGGAAGACCCTCTCCATGGCTGGCTAGGTCCCTGGGATCCTGAAGAAATGAATCCATTCTTGGTTGATGCAAAAAGACCCTTGTCGGACCCGTTGGCGGCAGGAGAAAAGTTATGGGAGAACTTTATAGATAAAGAATTCTTGTTAAATACTCCAATAAACCTTTCCCCTGTTGCAAAGTTACCTAAGTCTAAGGATGTTTTTGTGGAGACCCATTATTCAAAAAGTAGAATCCTCAAACATTGTCTCTTGGTTCTGGGAATGGGTTAAACAGGTAACATGCATAAACTGTTGTTTCAGTGAGGACTTGAAGGGCTGTTGTGTTCACAAAACCTCAGGAATTGACTGAGGATCAGAAATGCAACTACCATCAATGGAAAAAACAAGGGAACCAATTTAGGGCTAAGCCCAACAGTTTGAGCTACAGCAGATCCAGTAAATCAGTGGGATCTGCATAAGTGCTGACTCTAATAGGGATTAACAATCAGGTTTATTCTATTTACTTCATTTGTCTGTTTAGTCTGTTTACATCCCATCTGTTTTCCAGCATGGAACCCATGCAGTCTTCATCCCATCTGTTTTCCAGCATGGAACCCAAAGAAATATTCATGCAGTCTTAGAGGGCCTTCTTAAATGAACAGTGCAAAGAAACAGAGGAAAATAATAGAAAGGGCAAAACCAGAGATCTGTTCAAGAAAACTGGAGATATTAAAAGAACATTTTGTGCAAAGATGGACATGATAAAGGACAAAAATGGTAGGGACCTCACAGAAGCAGAAGACATCAAGAAGAGGTGGCAAGAATACACAGAGGAATTGTATCAGAAAGATCTGGACGTCCCGGAGAACCCAGATAGTGCAGTTGTTGACCTTAAGCGAGACATCCTGGAGAGTGAAGGCCGTCCCGGACAACCCAGATAGTGCAGTTGTTGACCTTGAACTCCAGGAAGTTGTTGACCTTCCTGGAGAGTGAAGTCAAGTGCACCTTAGAAAGCACGGCTAACAACAAGGGGCAGAGGAGACCAAATTGCTAACATGCACTGGATTATGGAGAAAGCCAGAGAGTTCCAGAAAAACATCTACTTCTGCTTCATTGACTACGCAAAAGCCTTTGACTGTGTGGACCACAGCAAACTATGGCATGTTCTTAAAGAAATGGAAGTGCCTGACCACCTTATCTTTCTCCTGAGAAATCTATATGTGGGACAGGAAGCAACAGATATGGAACAACTGATTGGTTCAAAATTGGGAAAGGAGTACGACAAGGCTGTATATAGTCCCTCTGTTTATTTAACGTATGCAGAATCCATCATGCAAAAGGCTGGCCTGGAGAAATCCCAAACCGGAATTAAGATTGTCGGAAGAAATATCAACAAACTCAGATATGCAGATCATACCACTCTGATGCCAGAAAGTGAGGAGGAATTAAAGAACCTCTTAATGAGGGTGAAAGAGGAGAGCGGAAAAAATGGTCTGAAGCTCAACATCAAAAAAAAAAAAAAAACAACTAAGATCATGGCCACTAGTCCCATCACCTTGTGGCAAACAGAAGGGGAAGATATGGAGGCAGTGACAGATTTTACTTTCTTGGACTCTATGATCACTGCAGATGGTGACAGCAGCCATAAGATCAAAAATGCCTGCTTCTTGGGAGAAAAGTGATGACAAACCTTGACAGCATCTTAAAAAGCAGAGACGTCACCTTGCTGACAAAGGCCTGCATAGTCAAAGCTATGGTTTTTCCAGTAGCGATGTATGGAAGTGAGAGCTGGACCATAAAGCAGGCTGACCGCCGAAGATGCTTTTGAATTGTGGTGCTGGAGGAGACTTTTGAGAATCCCCTGGACTGCAAAGAGAACAAACCTATCCGTTTTGAAGGAAATCACCCCTGAGTGCTCACTGGAAGGACAGATCCTGAAGCTGAGACTCCAAGACTTTGGCCATCTCATGAGAAGAGAAGACTCCCTGGAAACGACCCTGATGTTAGGAAAGGGTGAAGGCAAGAGGAGAAGACGACAGAGGATGATATGGTTGGCCAGTGTCATCAAGCTACATACGTACATGAATTTGACCCAACTACGGGAGGCAGTGGAAGATAGGAGGGCCTGGTGTGCTCCGGTCCATGGGGTCATGAAGAGTCGGACACGACTTAATGACTAAACAACAACAACATTTGTTTGGTGCTTTGGTCTTTGAGGCACAGATCAGGCACAGAGCTGCCTCAAGTCATGGCCTCACATGACCTCAGTCTATAACTTTGGACAAACGTGGGATGAAGCTAAATTTAGGTGCACTCTGTGGCTTTAATTGCAGGTTTCAGGTACTTACCAACAATCCCTGAGGATTTCAACAGTAAATGGATGGAATAGCTAGACAACAAAGCGACAGCAGTCAGGAGAAACCTAGAAGGAAAACAGAAATGCAATGATATCTAAATCACATTGCCAAAGAGACGGTCATTTAAGATGGAAACTAATAAATCAAAAGACTAGAGAAAAACCTCTACATTCATCCGTCACAGCATGGTAGATGGCTCCAGAAGCTTGATGTTCTGTTGGTTTTCAGCCGCATCAATGGAAGCATACTCAACAGCATTATTACCTTTGTGTAATACTCTCACAAGCCCTTTTAAATAGGAATCCCACTGATTTTAAAGGTTGTACAGCTGAATTTGTTTATTATGTACTGTTTTTATTCTACGACCTGTGTAAGCTGCCTTGAAAATTATTCTGCAGTAAAAAGGCAAGGCAAAAATGCAAGGCAAGGCAATACAATCAAATCTCAGCCTCATGAACTAAAACAACAATCCCGTATCATTCCATGCAAGCAAGGATGTATCACTGGGGGATGATGAGAGTTAGCAACCAACATCTGGGAGAATGATCCATACTTTCCCCAGGAAAAAAGAGCCCTCTTTTTAATGTTTAAAAAACCATGCATTGATTACATATAAATATCACAGGTTGCAGCTCTGCCATCTGGTTATATGGGTTATTTCTGTTTCCTCATAGTACCTAAGTCCCAGACCAGGGGTGGGGAAAGGACAGAACATGGATGGAGAGGAAGACGTAGCCCCATAAGAGCATTAACCTGATAAGGGAGACATCATGCATTGACTCCTGTGAACGAAGAGGCCCTGGTCAATGACTAGATGGTCTAATACTATTTGGTTACATAACATTTCATTTGTAAAAGGTGAGCAATTCCATCCAAAGGATAATGTATTAGGACATAAGCCAGACTGGAACAGAGCAAAAACTGTGCGTGCACTCATGCACATCAGGGAAACAGAGAATCGTGCTGAGCAAGGCAGACTTGCTCAGAATAGGATCTTAAGCAGGCCGCATTAAAGGTATCAACCCCCCATCCAGCTGGGCTAGTAATACTCTACTAGCATTAGTTCTTTGGCTTCTTGCCAGTGAAGCGTTCAAGACAAAACAATCCCTCCCAAGTCAGATCTCATTAAATTACTGGTCTCAGGCACTACCTATAGAAGTGAGGGAGTCCCATGGGCAAATGATACATATGATAAAATGAGTCCAACAACTGCCCTGTCTCAAGGTTGGTCTTCCCCAACTAGAGAAAGGCTGCACCCAATGAAGCAGTACTCCCAATAAAAGTAACAGGTTAAGTTACGTAAGAAGTCCTATGGCTCAGACTTCAGTCAGGGCAGCTTTGCCTGTCATCCATTTTTTTGCCCACTGGGGATATGTAGCAGGGAAGAACAGCTAAGGGGAATCCCCCAAGTGGTGCACAGCTTCCTAGCTGGAAAGGCACAAGACGTATCTCCCCCATGTCAGGGGTTGGAGTGTGAGTAAGGGGTTCTCCAAAGGGCCCAGGGCCCTCTGCAGGCAGCATGCAATTAAGCCCAAAGTTGGGGCAATGGACATTCTTCTTTCCTTGCCTATACATTAACATTATCAAATGGAGAGGAACTAGAAAAGGTTCCCTTATTTATCTGAATTTTATGCCACCCAATTAGTGCAAACCACTATGCTGGGTAGTTAACAATCAATAAGGTCAAACTAAGAGTAACAACAAATCAAAGAGTAATGATGATAATAAAAATAAAAAAATAAAAAAAACCAAATCAGCTTCAGGATCACAAGGCGAGCAAGCATCAACAACACATGTTTTCCATTTTGTGCTCAGACCGTTGTGCGCCACAGGAGGACTTTTCTGCCTGAACTGCACAATGGCCACCAAGCATGGACAGGGCTGCCGTGAAAGCCATTCAGAACCCTTTTGCCATTTCAATCAGCCCTTAATCTTTGGGCACTGCATTTCACAGAGTTCCTTTCCCCTTTGACAAATATACATACTCACTTTGATCTCGAGGAGGCAAAAGGGAAGGGAAGTATTGTGGAAAGAGGTTAGGGAAAGGTAGTCGGAAAACAAAAATGCCATTTATGTCAAAATAATATGACCCCTAAGTTCTGTATAACTGATATGGAACATCAGGCTTTGCATTCACATTCTTAATTCCTGGGCAATTAAATTACAAGGATCTGAAATGGGGCAATACTGCTACTGTTACTAATTACAGTGTGTCATTAATTTTAAACAATATCCAGAATGATGAAATTTACAGCTCCAGCCCTTCAGTAGATGTTCAGGGATGCTGGGTGTTGTAACACAACAACATTTTGGGACTCAAGGTTGAGAAACCTGTGAGAACCACAGCCATGCTGACAGTTTTATTTTTGTTGGCTCCATTTCCCCCCTGCCCTGCTCTGTGGATCTATTATTCACCATGGACTGAGTCCACTTTTTATGTGTCCAAAACATTTCTTCTAAATCAAGGGTTCCAAAGCATTTCCACAAAGAATATTACCAATGTCCCATGTGCTAAAACCATGCCTTCCACACCTGTACTGGAATTACACTTAGTTCCAGTCCTTTTTACTATGCTGCTTCTGTTGTAGAGCACCCCATCCTTCAATTCCTGGATATTTTTAACCCATTAGCCTCAGGAGTCAATAACAAGTTAACCCCATTAACCTATGATCAAGGATCCTGGGTACTGCATTCCAATAAAGTTTGGGAACCCAAGGTTGGGAAACCACAGCTAGACACTCAGATGCAGCCCTAAACAGGTACATTAATGAAATTGCAGAAGCACCAATTTTGTAATGCTTACTTGGATATGAAAACACCCCTTTCCCATGTCCCTTTTGAAAACACTGCCTCCCCCAATGCTAAGTGTTAAATCAAGAATTATCCTGGACTGAAGATGCTGACTTATGAGGAATGGCTGTGCATCCCTAGTATTTTTTGATGTAACCCTACCTACACCGCTCTCAGATTGACTTCTCTTGATAGTTGCTGCTCTGTAAGTAGTTAACTCAGAAGCCCTGGCTGTGAAGATCCTACTGAATTATGTCAACCATTCAGAGGGCACTAAGCATGCTCATGTTAGGTAGGGGATTCTGATGCCTGAACATCTCCTTAAGACCCCCTGCAGAACTTTATACACTTCTAGGGAAAAATCAGAAGCCTCTGTTCAACACAGATGGTATTTTATCCCAATTAAGGGTTAATTCCAGTATAAAATCAACCATTCCCAATAATAACAGCATTCATCCGGGTGTCAAGGTGTAAGTCTTTTCATTGTTGCAATAATTTCAAGCAACTTCAGCTTATCTAATTCTAAAAGCTTTTTTTACTGACATTGCTTCTATGTTCAATATGAATAAAATATTTCAGAGTTGTAAATATGCAAATGTCTCTCAGCTATGGAAAAACTGTAGGCACAAATATTTAAAAATACATTACAACTAAATGTAAGTTGTAGACAAATACTTCTCACAATGTGTCCAAAGACAGCCTGTTTCAAAAAATTTTTTTCCTCCAGAGATAGTTCAGGCTTGATTTGCTCTAGGACCCACCTGTTCATCTTTCTGGCAGTCCAGGATATCCACAAAACTCTTGAAGTACTGGTGCCTCTTCTGCCAGTTTTCACTTTTCCAAAATCTGAAACTAGTCCGGCTTTCCGTATATGCTCAGATAAAGGGATAAAATGTACCCTTGTCTGACACCTTTGCTTACAGAAAACAGCTGTCTAGCCGCCTAGAGTGGTCTTATAGACCAGATGGGTGGAGTATTAAATGAATGAATGAATGAATGAATGAATGAATGAATGAATGAATGAATGAATGAATGAATGAATATTCTGTCCTAAACAGTAGCTTCTTGTCCACTTTCCAAGACATGTAACAAGACAATTGTGGTGTTCACCCTCATGCCCCCTTTCTTGACCATTAAGACTCTGAGTACATGAAGGCAAACAATCCCCTTTTTACACTGCTGCCAGCAGGTGATCACTAAATCACCATTACTTCTGGAAGATAACGATTCAGGTCCACACTCAAAGTCTTTTAAATAGGTCTTTCATTTATTGATTACAGTAATTGATATTGATTCATGAATATCTTCTTTAAGTAAATTTATTATTAACAACAACCTTCTATTTGATAATACACTTCTAACTCTAATCACACCTCAGAATTCCCCAAACTCCACACTCTAACCACTTCTCTCTCACACACTCCCCTCCAACTCTCTGACTCTCCCTGACTCTCAGGCTCCGCCTCTTATAAGATCTCTCTTGGCTCCGCCTCTCAGCAACATGAACAATTAACATACTAAAACATAAACCATTGACAAAATAAAGGGGAACGCTACAACAATCAAGTGGTGAGGAGCACTCCTTTTTCTTCAGAGCAACCCATTGTTTCTCATGATCCACACAGTCAGTAGTCTATAAAGCACAGATTGGTCTTCAGAAATTCTTTAGTGCACTCCAATAGCCAGTGGATATTTACAATGTGATTTTGAGTGCCTCTTCCTTTTTGAAATCCAGCTTGAACATCAGGCACTTCTTGCTCGATATAAGGTAAAGGCCTTTGTTGCAATACCATGAGCATCACCTTGCTTCCATGGGAAATAAAATAAATGGTCCTAAAATTACTGCACTCCTTGGTATCTCCTGTTTTAGGGACTAAATGTATATTGAAAGTTTCCATACTGTGGGCCATTGCTTTGTTTTCCATATTTGTTGACATATTCTTTTTAGGATATTGTAGGATTTTGACAGAAATATTTCTGTGGCTTGAAATAGTTCTAGAGATATTCTATTTGCCCTGGTGATTTATTTATTCCTAATGCTTTCACAGCAGCTTTCACTTCACTCTCTAGAACTGCAGGTTCTTTGTCATATGATTCTTCTTCAAAGGAGTCTGTTATCCTTTTATCTGTTCTGTACAGATCTTCAGCATACCATTTCCACCTTTATTTATTTCCTCCTGGTCAGATAGAGTGCTTCCCTGTTGGTCATTCAGCATTCCTAATCTAGGCTTGAATTTCCCTTTTATTTCTTAAATCTTCTGGAAGCGATCTCTTT